ATTGAATGAAAGGATGGAGAACATTAGAGATCTGGGCCTTCCACAACACAGCCCATAACAGAAGAAGCAGGATGATCGTATTCCCTGGAACTGTGTTGTGGAAGGCCCAGATCTCTAATGTTCTCCATCCTTTCATTCAATGCTAATGTTTTGGACCCCTGTGACACTTTTGGGGCCACACAGATATTCGAGAGTGCAGAAGTAATCCTTGTAGGTCTATGGGTGACTTTCGCCTTTTTAGACTGTGAGTTCCAGGGGAAAATACGGTCATCCTGCTTCTTCTGTTATGGGCTGTGTTGTGGAAGGCCCAGATCTCTGATGTTCTCCATCCTTTCATTCAATGCTAATGTTTTGGACCCCTGTGACACTTTTGGGGCCACACAGATATTCAGAGAGTGCAGAATGACAGCGATTGCGGTGTAGAATTCCTCGCATGTTTCTCAGCCTCATTATTCAGACGAGCTCATCCGCCGCCATTCACTGCCATGGGAACCAGGAGAGCCCATTGTGGTCGCCATCAATTCCTGTTTTATTCCTGACGATCGTTTGGCTAAGCCAGGGCCCCGGCACTCAAAGTCAACGGAGCTTCTTATGGTGACAAAGCTTAAAAGGAATTTTCAGATGCTGGACTGTCGGTGAATGTCAGAACAAAATTTACTCCTTTTCCAGTAATAGATTTTAGAGCAGGGGTGTCAAACTGGCAACCCTCCAGCTGTTGCGAAACTACAAGCCCCATCATGGCTCTGCCTTTGGGAGTCATGCTTGTAATCTGTCAATCTTGGAATGCCTCATGGGACTTGTAGTTTGGCAATAGCTGGAGGGCCACCAGTTTGACACCCGTGTTAGAGGGCTCAGAGGACACTGTGTTTTGTAGCTTCTTCAAGCTACTTCGTTGGTTCTCATGAGTGTCCGGAAGATACCCCAATGCCTCATGGGACTTGTAGTTTTGGCAATAGCTGGAGGGCCACCAGTTTGACACCATGTTCTAGACGGCTCAGCGGACACTGTTTTGTAGCTTCTCCAAGCTATGTCATCAGTTCCAATGAGTGTCAGGAAGATACCCCAATGCCTCATGGGACTTGTAGTTTGCCAACAGCTGGAGGGCCACCAGTTTGACACCTGTGTTCTAGAGGGCTCAGAGGCAGGGGCAGACTGACAACTCATGGGGCCCCCGGGCAATAGGGGATCATGGGGCCCCTGTGTCCTTGCCCAAACTCAAAAAAGCCTATGAAAAAGGTACCAGGGGCATCTCATGGGGCCCCCTACTGACCCCGGGCCCTCGGGCAGTGCCCGAGTTTCCAAATGGTCAGTCCGCCCCTGCTCAGAGGACAGTTTTTTTTTTTTTGTTTTTTTTTTTGTAGCTTCTCCAAGCTACATCATCAGTTCCAATGAGTGTCAGGAAGATACCCCCAACCTTTGTATCTAGAATGGTAGCACTGACACCTTCTTCATCCGATCCCCATTGAATGTGTAGATGCTGATTTATCCAGTGTGTCTATGAAGGTTCTTATTTCTCCTGGTCATGGTAGGTATACAATATTTCCAAAAGTATTGGACACCCCTACAAATCATTGGATTTAGGGGTTCCAATCACCTCCATGGCCACGGGTGTATAAAATCAAGCACCTAGGCATGCAGACTTTTTTGAATTTTGGGCAAGGACACAGGGGCCCCATGATCCCCTATTGCCCGGGGGCCCCATGAGTTGTCACTCTGTCCCTGTCCGTGTCATTTCCTGGCCACTAAATATTCCACGCTCAACTGTTAGTGGGATTATAACAAAGTGGAAGCAACTGGGAACAACAGCCACTCAGTCACCAAGTGGTAGGCCACGTCACATGACAGAGCGGGGTCAGCGCATGCTGAAGCGCACAGTGCGCAGAAGTCGCCAACTGTCTGCAGAGTCAATAGCTAAAGACCTCCAAACTTGGTGTGGCCTTCAGATGAGCCCAACAACAGTGCAAAGAGAGCTTCATGGAATGGGTTTCCATGGCCGAGCAGCTGCATCCAAGCCTTACATCACCAAGTGCAATGCAGAGCGTCGAATGCTGTGGTGTAAAGCACGCTGCCACTGGACTCTAGAGCAGAGGAGATGTGTTTTCTGGAGTGACCAATCATGTTTCTCTGTCCGGCAATCCGATGGACGTGTCTGGGTTTGGCAGAGCTTTGCACTCCCCTTCTAATACCTGTCCCATGCCATAGCCTGGACTGGTGATCCTGTGTTAGGACCATCTCTGGTAGTGATATTAGGCGGTGTATAATCAGCAGATTTATAATTCGATGTCCAATGTTCGGTGCAGAGACTTTGTATCTGAGGAATTTACTGCCTTCTTTAATGATTAGAGGAGAGGCAGGTGAGGTGGCATAACAGGGTTGTGATGGAGAAGGTGGTGATCATCTTGTTACATTATATAATACATGGTGGTCATCTGATGGGGAGACCGACTACTGGATACAAATATTGGTCACACTGCACTGAGGTCGATGGAAAGTGTTCGTGCTGTTGAGCGGCATGCATGGTGAGCGCCGCGCATGGTGATTGCCCTGACAGCGGACCCGGGCTCAAAGGTGAGCCCAGAACGTCTTGAACGAACTTTGAGAGGGTGGTAGATGGGTGCATTCCAAGAAACTCTGAGATACCTAAACTATGCGATGGAGGGGGGGGCGGCCTTCACATGACTGCACAGTCCAAAGGTAGAAACATGTTTTTACTATCCAATGTTAATTACTCAGCACTTGACAGAGGACATATACCGCAGTGTTGTACAGAGAACACTGAGCCAGTCACATCAGTCTCTGTACCAGAGGAGCTTACACTCTAATGTCCCCTCCCCCACAGTCACATCAATCTCTGTACCAGAGGAGCTTACACTCGAATGTCCCCTCCCCCACAGTCACATCAGTCTCTGTACCAGAGGAGCTTACACTCGAATGTCCCCTCCCCCACAGTCACATCAGTCTCTGTACCAGAGGAGCTTACACTCCAATGTCCCCCCTCCCCCACAGTCACATCAATCTCTGTACCAGAGGAGCTTACACTCCAATGTCCCCCCTCCCCCACAGTCACCCACTATTATTATAATACATTTATATAGCTCTGACATATATTGCAGCGTCATACGGAGATCACTGAGCCATGACTATCCGTCTCTGTACCAGGGAGCTTACACTCTAATGTCCCCCCCCCCCCCCCCCCCCACAGTCACGTCAGTCTCTGTACCAGAGAAGCTTACACTCTAATGTCCCCTCCCCCACAGTCACATCAGTCTCTGTACCAGAGGAGCTTACACTCTAATGTCCCCCCCCCCCCCCCCCCAGTCACACACTACTATACATGTATATAGCTCTGACATATACCGCAGCGTTGTACAGAGAACACTGAGCCAGTCACATCAGTCTCTGTACCAGAGGAGCTTACACTCTAATGTCCCCCCCCCACAGTCACATCAGTCTCTGTACCAGAGGAGCTTACACTCTAATGTCCCCTCCCCCACAGTCACATCAGTTTCTGTACCAGAGGAGCTTACACTCTAATGTTCCCCCCCCCCCCCCAGTCACACACTACTATACATGTATATAGCTCTGACATATACCGCAGCGTTGTACAGAGAACACTGAGCCAGTCACATCAGTCTCTGTACCAGGGAGCTTACACTCTAATGTCCCCCCCCCCCCACAGTCACGTCAGTCTCTGTACCAGAGAAGCTTACACTCTAATGTTCCCTCCCCCACAGTCACATCAGTCTCTGTACCAGAGGAGCTTACACTCTAATGCTCCCTCCCCCCACAGTCACATCAGTCTCTGTACCAGAGGAGCTTACACTCTAATGTTCCCTCCCCCACAGTCACATCAGTCTCTGTACCAGAGGAGCTTACACTCTAATGTCCCCTCCCCCACAGTCACATCAGTCTCTGTACCAGAGGAGCTTACACTCTAATGTCCCCCTCCCCCACAGTCACATCAGTTTCTGTACCAGAGGAGCTTACACTCTAATGTCCCCCTCCCCCACAGTCACATCAGTGTCTGTACCAGAGGAGCTTACACTCTAATGTCCCCCCCCCCCCCAAAGTCACACACTATTATTGTTATACATGTACATAGCTCTGACATATACCGCAGCGCTGTACAGAGAACACTGAGCGGTTCTCCATGACTTGCACTAGTACAGGATATGTCTCTGGATTCCAGCGCTGTCAGGAGTTCTGCACTCACATTCCAGCAGGTGAACCTGTCATTCTTGCACCATGATCTGACTGTAGGGTACAGGTAGGTGGGCGCAGGTGAGTGGCAGCTGATTGGTGGCCTCCTCTCACACCCCTAGCCTGGTGTTTACTTTGTATTAATAAGTGACCTCTGTATGTAGGTTTTGTGGTGATAAGCTGTTTGTTGTAACGCATAGTGCTGAGGAAGAGATCAGAGGTTACCCCACCGCCCTCCACCCATCAGATCCTCCGCTTAACCCGTTACTCATTACATCTCACCTGTCACATGACCATTCTATACAGTACCTAGGGGGCAGGAGACGTGTCCAGAGTCCATACATACAGAATAACCGATTCCGAGAATTCCACCCGGCATCCAGGACAACAAACACCGTGTTGTGCAATCGGCTCTTTCCGTTGTTTGCAGAATATTATATATTTTCTCTGGAATTTCAGTGATATTTAATGGTTTTGTTTTTTCTGTATTTTCAGGGTGTGAAGAAGCCATTTACAGAGGTGATAAAAGCCAATATTGGAGATGCACACGCCATGGGCCAGAAGCCAATCACATTCCTCAGACAGGTGAGGCTGTAATACTAAGCTCATCCACAAGAGGGAGTCCTGCGCTCCTCGGGGGAGGAGCCATTTGATAATTGGTTGATTGAAAAGATGTGACTTATGCTGTGTTTTTTACTTTGGTTGCTGTTGTCTGCATGAAATTTCTTCTCCGGGAATTGGGGGAGTTTTTTGAACACTGTTAGAGAATAGGCCCGTGTTTGACTGAACATTCCCATCATCCTGCAGCCTGTGCTGTGAATTCTGCCTCTAGTGGTCAGCAGCAAACGTGCCCCAACTTACCTCCCCCCTCCCATTAGCAGCATGTTCTTGCATTACAGAGCTCCTTATGTTTTGGGGCCCCCAGGTATTCATTGGGATGTACAGACATCTTATCAGGTCTGCGGCCGACTTTATTCGATTAAAAGTCGGCAGAAGTTTAGTACCGATACCAGTTGATCCAGCGACCAGTGATGTGGGCCGCTAGGCTGCCAGGACTCGATTGTGGAAATGTGTTTTTACAAATGTGACCCCCCCCCCAGGGTCTATTTATAAAACATTCATTGAACGAATGTCCAAATCATTCCTGCAGGCTGAATGAAATGTCACCGTAATTTTGCTGAGAGAGATTAATTCCTGTGTCTTCAGCTCCATCTAGGGGCCAATATGCGGTATAGTTTTCTGAAATACCTGTCGAAAAAAACCATCATCCCACCATCAACCCACCTTGTGCAAATCCCCCCTCCTTGAGCAAATCCCCCCCCCCCTCATGCCCTCACAAGTCTCACAAGTCTCCCCCCCCCCCCCCCCCCCCATGCCCTCGCAAGTCCCCCCCCCCCTCCCTCATGCCCTCCCCAAGTCCCCCCCCCCCTCCCCTCATGCCCTCGCAAGTCCCCCTCCCCTCGTGCCCTCGCAAGTCCCCCCCCCCCATGCCCTCGCAAGTCCCCCCCCCCCTCATGCCCTCGCAAGTCCCCCCCCCCCATGCCCTCGCAAGTCCCCCCACCCCCCTCATGCCCTCGCAAGTCCCCCCCCCCCTCATGCCCTTGCAAGTCCCCCCCCCCCCCCATGCCCTCGCAAGTCTTCCCCCCCCCCCTCATGCCCTCGCAAGTCTTTCCCCCCCCCCCCCTCATCGCAAGTCTTCCCCCCCCCCCTCATGCCCTCGCAAGTCTTCCCCCCCCCCCCCCTCGCATGCCCCCCCCCCCCTCATGCAAGTCTTCCCCCCCCCCCCCTCATGCCCTCGCAAGTCCCCCCCCCCCCCCCCCCCCCCATGCCCTCGCAAGTCTCCCCCCCCCCCCCCCTCATGCCCTTGCAAGTCTTCCCCCCCCCCCCCTCATGCCCTCGCAAGTCTCCCCCCCCCCCCTCATGCCCTCGCAAGTCTCCCCCCCCCCCCCTCGCATGCCCTCATGCCCTCGCAAGTCCCCCCCCCCCCATGCCCTCGCAAGTCCCCCCCCCCCATGCCCTCGCAAGTCCCCCCCCCTCATGCCCTCGCAAGTCTCCCCCCCCCCCCTCATGCCCTCGCAAGTCTCCCCCCCCCCCCCCCCCTCATGCCCTCGCAAGTCTCCCCCCCCCATGCCCTCGCAAGTCTCCCCCCCCCCCCCCATGCCCTCGCAAGTCCCCCCCCCCCTCATGCCCTCGCAAGTCTCCCCCCCCCCCCCTCATGCCCTCGCAAGTCTCCCCCCCCCCCCCCCCTCATGCCCTCGCAAGTCTCCCCCCCCCCCCCCCTCATGCCCTCGCAAGTCTCCCCCCCCCCCCCTCATGCCCTCGCAAGTCTCCCCCCCCCCCTCATGCCCTCGCAAGTCTCCCCCCCCCCCCCCCCCTCATGCCCTCGCAAGTCTCCCCCCCCCCCCCCCATGCCCTCGCAAGTCTCGCAAGTCCCCCCCCCCCCCCCCTCATGCCCTCGCAAGTCTCCCCCCCCCCCCCCCCCCCCCCCTCATGCCCTCGCAAGTCTCCCCCCCCCCCCTCATGCCCTCGCAAGTCTCTCCCCCCCCCCCCCCTCATGCCCTCGCAAGTCTCCCCCCCCCCCCCCATCCCTGCCCTCGCAAGTCTCCCCCCCCCTCATGCCCTCGCAAGTCTCCCCCCCCCTCATGCCCTCGCAAAGTCTCCCCCCCCCCTCATGCCCTCGCAAGTCTCCCCCCCCCCCCCCCCTCATGCCCTCCGCAAGTCTCCCCCCCCTCATGCCCTCGCAAGTCTCCCCCCCCCCCCCCATGCCCTCGCAAGTCTTCCCCCCCCCCCCCCTCATGCCCTCGCAAGTCTCTCCACCCCCCCCTATCCCATGCCCCCCCCCGCAAATCTCTCCACCCCCCCCCCCCTCCCATGCTCCCGCAAATCTCTCTCTTCTCCCCCCCCCCCCCCCCATGCCCTCGCAAATCTCCCATGCCCTCTATCCAAAAAAAAAAAATCCATCCAAATTACCCAAATCCCCCCCCTCCCTTAGCACAAATCCCCCCCCCCCCCCCAACCTCCCTCCTACTGCTAGCACACATTCCCCCGGAGGAGGGTCCGTCAGTAGCAGAACGTAGGGAAAGCAGTGGTTGTGGTTTGCCTAGTGGTAGCGCCGGCCCTGCTCACACACGTACTCACAGTAATAGTAAGAGGTCTTGAAAGTGAAAGTATCACTAACCCGCTTGGCTGTGACCAGGGGCGGACTGACAACTCATGGGGCCCCCGGGCAATAGGGGATTATGGGGCCCCTGTGTCCTCACCCACACTTAAACCACACCCAAAAAATCCTAGAAAAGGTACCAGGGGAATCTCATGGGTCCCCCTACTGACCCCGGGCCCTCAGGCAGTGCCCGAGTTTCCAAATGGTCAGTCCGCCCCTGGCTGTGACAAGGTTGCTGATCCCTCCTGCACCTCCCATGATGATTGGCCCCTGTATTGGAGACTTTTTACCTGTTGCACCCCTGTGTGCTCATTCTCTCCTTTTTTCTCCATCCTTCCAGGTCACTGCCCTCTGTCTCTACCCAGAGCTGCTTAACGACAACAAGTTCCCGGATGATGCCAAGCAGAAGGCGATGCGGATCCTGCAGGCCTGCGGGGGCAACAGCATCGGTCAGTACTGGGCTGGGAATGGGGGTCTCTCCTGTATGATGCAGCAGAGACAGGCTGGGGAATGTCACCCGCTAGTACAGGGCAGCATGGTGGATTAGTGGTTGGCTCTTCTGCCTTTGCAGCACTGGGGTGCTCGGTTCCAATCACGATCTGCATGGAGTTTGCATGTGCTTGTGACGGTTTCCTCCAGGTACTCTGGTTTCCTCTCACTGCTAGGGTAACTGGTTCCTGTCCAACATTTCCCTGGTATGTGTGTGATGGGGACCTTCAATTGTAAGCTCCTTGAGGGCAGAGGCTGATGTGGAAGGCTGTGGGCAGGATGTAAATGCCTGAAATGAATAATACACGGACGCCAGGGGGGGGACCAGGGGCAGACTGACAACTCATGGGGCCCCCCTGGGCAATAGGGGATCATGGGGGCCCTGTGTCCTTGCCCAAACTCAAAAAAGCCTATGAAAAAGGTACCAGGGGCATCTCATGGGGCCCCCTACCGACCCCGGGCCCTCAGGCATCGCCCGAGTTTCCACATGGTCAGTCCACCCTTGCCAGGGACACACTCACAGGACAAATGATGATTTATGTAAAAACAGATCATACTGCATTATAGCCACTAGATGGTGCTGACGATATTAATTTACTGTGATCCCCAGCACCATCTAGTGGTCATATTACTGGATTTTCCGGATTTTCCTGATTGAATAACATTCGACCTGGACAAAAATCGCATAGGATTTGCTTTAGCCCCCATTAGTACAGAGCTAATGTACATGTAGTTTCACAGAATGAATAGCTCTGCAGGTTTTTTTGTAGATAAATCCATAAATGATTAACCTAGCTTCACAGTTATAAGATACATGTATGTGGGTTTGCTTCTCTCCTGTACCCATGTATGTATGTATGTATGTATGTATAGATAGATAGATATGTGTGTACACGCACTTGTTATATCTGCTCAATAGGATTCTGCCAGAAATTCTTATGTAACAAGACACTGTGAAAGGGATGCTTAACAGACCAAAAGGGAGTGAAGAAGACTAGTTTACAATTAGGGTTTACATATACTTTAATAGGGAGTCACACTGGGGCAGATGGACAACTTTATTTGTCTAGTGCAGGGGCCTCCAAATTTGCAGAACAAGGGCTGGTTTACTGTCCTTCAGACTTTGAGGGGGCCGGACTGTGGCCGGTGGGAGTAGAAAATGCCCCGGCGCCAATGGGAGTAAACCATGCCTCATCATTGGTATTAATGGGAGGAATAATGATCCATTGCTGGTAGTAGGGGAAAAAAAATAGCGCACCATCATTGGCGTCAGGGAAAGGAATGGCACCCCATCGTTGGGGGTCATGCAAAAGAATGGTGCCCCATCGTTGGGGGTCGGGGAAAAGAATGGCGCCCCATCGTTGGGGTCGGGGAAAAGAATGGCGCCCCATCGTTGGGGTCGGGGACGGGGAAAGGAATGGCGCCCCATCGTTGGGGTCGGGGAAAGGAATGGCGCCCCATCGTTGGGGTCGGGGAAAGGAATGGCGCCCCATCGTTTGGGTCGGGGGAAAAGAATGGCGCCCCATCGTTGGGGTCGGGGAAAAGAATGGCGCCCCATCGTTGGGGTCGGGGAAAGGAATGGCGCCCCATCGTTTGGGTCGGGGAAAAAGAATGGCGCCCCATCGTTGGGGTCGGGGAAAAGAATGGCGCCCCATCGTTGGGGTCGGGGAAAAGAATGGCGCCCCATCGTTGGGGTTGGGGAAAAGAATGGCGCCCCATCGTTGGGGTCGGGGAAAAGAATGGCGCCCCATCGTTGGGGTCGGGGAAAAGAATGGCGCCCCATCGTTGGGGTCGGGGAAAAGAATGGTGCCCCCATCGTTGGGGTCGGGGAAAAGAATGGCGCCCCATCGTTGGGGTCGGGGAAAAGAATGGCGCCCCATCGTTGGTCAGGGAGAGGAATGGCGCCCCATCGTTGGTCAGGGAGAGGAATGGCGCCCCATCGTTGGTCAGGGAGAGGAATGGCGCCCATCGTTGGTCAGGGAGAGGAATGGCGCCCCAATGGCGCCCCATCGTTGGGGTCGGGGAAAAGAATGGCGCCCCATCGTTGGGGGTCGGGGAAAAGAATGGCGCCCCATCGTTGGGGTCGGGGAAAAAGAATGGCGCCCCGTTGGGGTCGGGGAAAAGAATGGGGTCGGGGAAAAAAAGAATGGCGCCCCATCGTTGGGGTCGGGGAAAAGAATGGCGCCCCATCGTTGGGGTCGGGGAAAAGAATGGCGCCCCATCGTTGGGGTCGGGGAAAAAGAATGGCGCCCCATCGTTGGGGTCGGGGAAAAGAATGGCGCCCCATCGTTGGTCAGGGAGAGGAATGGCGGCGCCCCATCGTTGGTCAGGGAGAATGGAATGGCGCCCCAATCGTTGGTCAGGGAAAGGAATGGCGCCCCATCGTTGGTCATGGGAGGGAATGGCGCGCCCCATCGTTGGTCAGGAGAGAGGAATGGGCGCCCCATCGTTGGTCAGTTGGTAGAGATAGAATGGCGCCCCATCGTTGGGGTTGTGGAAAGGAATGGCGCCCCATTGTTGGGGTCGGGCAAAGGAATGGCGCCCCATCGTTGGGGTCGGAGAGAAGAATAGTTAGAATAGTTCCAAACCCACTGGTGTCAGTGGTAGGAATAGTGCCCCATTATTTGTGTCAGAGAGAAGAATAGTTCAATAACATTGGTGTCAGTTGTAGGAATAGCGCCCTATTGTTGGCATCCGTAACAGTAAATTATGCCCCATTGTTTGTGTCAGGGGAAAGGAGTGTAGTGCCCCATCGTTGGGGTCAGGGAAAAGACTGGCGCCCCATCGTTGGGATCGGGGAGAGGAATGATGCCCCATCGTTGGGGTCGGGGAAAGGAATGGCGTCCCATCGTTGGGGTCGGGGAAAGGAATGGCGCCCCATCGTTGGGGTCGGGGAAAAGAATGGCGCCCCATCGTTGGGGTCGGGGAAAGGAATGGCGCCCCATCGTTTGGGTCGGGGAAAAGAAATGGCGCCCCATCGTTGGGGTCGGGGAAAAGAATGGCGCCCCATCGTTGGGGTCAGGGAAAAGAATGGCGCCCCATCGTTGGGGTTGGGGAAAAGAATGGCGCCCCATCGTTGGGGTCGGGGAAAAGAATGGCGCCCCATCGTTGGGGTCGGGGAAAAGAATGGCGCCCCATCGTTGGGGTCGGGGAAAAGAATGGTGCCCCATCGTTGGGGTCGGGAAAAGAATGGCGCCCCATCGTTGGGGTCGGGGAAAAGAATGGCGCCCCATCGTTGGTCAGGGAGAGGAATGGCGCCCCATCGTTGGTCAGGGAGAGGAATGGCGCCCCATCGTTGGTCAGGGGAGAGGAATGGCGCCCCATCGTTGGTCAGGGAGAGGAATGGCGCCCCATCGTTGGTCAGGGAGAGGAATGGCGCCCCATCGTTGGGGTCGGGGAAAAGAATGGCGCCCCATCGTTGGGGTCGGGGAAAAGAATGGCGCCCCATCGTTGGGGTCGGGGAAAGAATGGCGCCCCATCGTTGGGGTCGGGGAAAAGAATGGCGCCCCATCGTTGGGGTCGGGGAAAAGAATGGCGCCCCATCGTTGGGGTCGGGGAAAAAGAATGTGCCCCATCGTTGGGGTCGGAGAAAAGAATGGCGCCCATCGTTGGGGTCGGGGAAAAGAATGGCGCCCCATCGTTGGTCCGGGAGAGGAATGGCGCCCCATCGTTGGTCAGGGAGAGGAATGGCGCCCATCGTTGGTCAGGGAGAGGAAAATGGCGCCCCATCGTTGGTCAGGGAGAGGAATGGCGCCCCATCGTTGGTCAGGGAGAGGAATGGCGCCCCATCGTTGGGGTCAGGGAGAAGGAATGGCGCCCCATCGTTGGGGTTGTGGAAAGGAATGGCGCCCCATTGTTGGGGTCGGGGAAAGGAATGGCGCCCCATCGTTGGGGTCGGAGAGAAGAATAGTTAGAATAGTTCCAAACCACTGGTGTCAGTGGTAGGAATAGTGCCCCATTATTTGTGTCAGAGAGAAGAATAGTTCAATAACATTGGTGTCAGTTGTAGGAATAGCGCCCTATTGTTGGCATCCGTAACAGTAATTATGCCCCATTGTTTGTGTCAGGGAAAGGAGTAGTGCCCCATCGTTGGGGTCAGGGAAAAGACTGGCGCCCCATCGTTGGGATCGGGGAGAGGAATGATGCCCCATCGTTGGGGTCGGGGAAAGGAATGGCGCCCCATCGTTGGGGTCGGGGAAAGGAATGGCGCCCCATCGTTGGGGTCGGGGAAAGGAATGGCGCCCCATCGTTGGGGTCGGGGAATGGCGCCCCAAAAGAATGGCGCCCCCCATCGTTTGGGTCGGAGAGAAGAATAGTTCCAAACCACTGGTGTCAGTGGCAGGAATAGTGCCCCATCATTGGGATCAGGGGAAGGAATAGTGCCCCATTATTTGTGTCAGAGAGAATAGTTCAATAACATTGGTGTCAGTTGTAGGAATAGCGCCATATTGTTGGCATCCGTAACAGTAATTATGCCCCATTGTTGGTGTCATTCGAAGGAATAGAGCCTTGTATCAATGGGTGGAATAGAGCCCCAAGGGCCTGATAAGGGCAAGCAAAGGGCCACATCTGGCCCCTGGACCACAGTTTGGAGACCACTGGTGTAATGTGACCAAACACAAAACTGAACCCTCAGACAGGTCAGATGCAATTGGTAGGTGGTTGATCAGATTTTTTTTTTTTCCCAGTGAATTCCTTCTCACTAAGCAGCCTATGGAAGTCACTGACACACAGCAAAATGTTTGGTCCAATGACAACAATAAAAACTGGATGGAGCTCTACTTTAATTCTCAACAAAATTCCCTGTATAGCTGAATCCATGAAAGGGAAACTCTTCAAATGTACTGGATATGCTCCGGGTCCTGTACATAATCTCATTTGAACCTGCAGTTATCTGAGTTCCGTACTTCTGAGCCCCGCACATAACCCTACCTGTACCTCATGGGTTCTGGGCATCTGGGCCAGCATATAACCCCACTTTCACCTCTGAGATCTCTGCCCCAGGGATCAGCACATAGCCCAAGTAGTATCCTCTGGTTTGTCTGCACCTGGGCCCAGCACATAACCCACCTGTACCTCTTGGGCTCTCTGCACCTGGGTCCAGTATGTAGGCTCACGTGTAGCTCTGAGATCTCTGCTACAGGGGCCATCACATAACCCAAGTAGTACCCTCTGAGATCTCTGCCCTGCCCCAAGGGCCATCACATAACCCAAGTAGTACCCTCTGAGATCTCTGCCTCAGGGATCATCACATAACCCAAGTAGTACCCTCTGAGATCTCTGCCTCAGGGATCATCACATAACCCAAGTAGTACCCTCTGAGATCTCTGCCCTGCCCCAAGGGCCATCACATAACCCAAGTAGTACCCCCTGAGATCTCTGCCTCAGGGATCATCACATAACCCAAGTAGTACCCCCTGAGATCTCTGCCCCAAGGGCCATCACACTACCCAAGTAGTACACCCTGAGATCTCTGCCCCAGGGCCATCACACTACCCAAGTAGTACCCCCTGAGATCTCTGCCCAAAGGATCATCACATAACCCAAGTAGTACCCTCTGAGATCTCTGCTCCAAGGGCCATCACATAACCAGAGTAGTACCCATTGGTTTGTCTGCACCTGGGCTCAGCACATAACCCCACCTGTACCTCTTGGGCTCTTTGCACTTGGGTCTAGCACATCAGCCTTCTTTTACCTCTGAGATGCCTGCCCCAGGGACCATCATATAACCCAAATAGTGCCCTCTGGTTTGCCTGCACCTGGGTCCAGTTGTGCTACTGAGATCTGCACTGAGGACTAGAATGCACCTTGGGACTTTCAGCTCCTGGGCCCAGCACATAACTACACCTGTAACTCCTGGTCTGTCTGCATCTGGACTCATCACATAATCCTCTGGGCTCTCTGCACCTAGACTTAGGTGACCCCACTTGTACTTTGACTGTTTTCACCTGGGCCCAGCACATCACCCCACTTGTACCTCACACCTGGGCCTGGAGCTGGTACACAGATTGGTCTTATTATATGTAGAATTTCTCTAGATAGCCAGGGGGGGCTAGCTAGTTTTTTCAGCTAGAAATGCTGAGTCAGAAGGTCAATTTTAGGTCAGAGCTGAGAGGCTCTGCAGATCAGTTCCTTGATACCTCCCTTTGCTCTGGAAACTTGGAGAAGATTCTAGAAGCAGTGGTGAGGAGGGCCTGACTTAAAAACTTAAGGGATCCTGATGAATCCCCAGACAGGAGGCTTGGCATGGGGTCGTGACAGCCCTTAAATAAGACTGATCCTGCTCAGCAGCAGGAGACTTCAGGTGGAAGATGAGGAAGGCTGAGATGTAGGAGCTTTGGAGGGGTCCCAGTAGTAAGGGGCCTACCTACAGGCCGGGCCCTGGAAAGGAAGATCGATCAGGTCCCCAGAGGGAGGACTACCTATGGAGCCAGGGAAGGAACCAGCCCAGCAAAGGGCCTGAAGGCAGTCGCCAGCTCACAGGCGAGGACTGGGTGGGTAATCCTGCACCCCATGGGCAGGTTAAGGGGAGGAAGCATTCTGATGGGAAACCTAACCAGCTCCATACCCGGGACTGTTAACCCTTTCAAGTGTCTGCCATTGAATCCCCTTGCCTGGGGATACCTTCAGACAGCTGGGTAGAGAAGATTTATCTGAGGTCTGGGGTGGTACACCAGGAGAGGCTTGAGAGCTCTCCTAGGAGACGTTCTATTCTTGGACTTGTACATGGTTGCTAAGTTGTCCTCTGTTTGCTGTTCTTTGGGCATCTCATACACCCCCCTATCCTATCCAAGTTCATTACCCTTAATAAAACCTAAAAAAACAAGCTCAAAGACAGTTAACTGTCTCCAGAGTGCACGTCTGTGGGAGGGATGCGGGTTGTCTGGCTGTGCGGGACTATAGGGGGGACCCAGATCTTCATCGGCTCCTAAGGGGGTAGTGCTACATTTAATGAATCCTAGGAAAGCACAGATGGACCAGACAGGTTTGTAGCCACTGTGTCTATTTTGGAAGCTGAATGAACCTCTTTCTTCTCTCTGCATTCCCATCACAGGCTCCTACAGCGCCAGTCAAGGTATCGAGATCATTCGGCAAGATGTGGCCAAATACATAGAGACTAGAGATGGCGGAATAAGAAGCAACCCGGACGACATCTACCTCTCCACAGGGGCCAGCGATTCCATTGTGGTGAGTGATGTCCCGAGCTCTGCCCTCGTCGGCTACTGTAACCCCACCACCGGCAGAGAACCGTCTGTTACTTGTCCATGTCCCACCACCAGCACAGAACCGCCTGTTACTTGTCCATGTCCTACCACCGGCAGAGAACCGTCTGTTACTTGTCCATGTCCTACCACCGGCAGAGAACCGTCTGTTACTTGTCCATGTCCTACCACCGGCAGAGAACCGTCTGTTACCTGTCCATGTCCCACCACCGGCAGAGAACCGTCTGTTACTTGTCCATGTCCCACCACCGGCAAAGAACCGCCTGTTACCTGTCCATGTCCCACCACTGGCAAAGAACCGCCTGTTACCTGTCCATGTCCCACCACCAGCAAAGAACCGCCTGTTACCTGTCCATGTCCCACCACCGGCAGAGAACTGTCTGTTACTTGTCCATGTCCCACCACCACCAGCAAAGAACCGCCTGTTACTTGTCCATGTCCCACCACCGGCAAAGAACCGTCTGTTACCTGTCCATGTCCCACCACCTATGTGGTCACATTCCCATCTGTCATATAAACCCAAAACCTCCCCTCTTCCTAAGACATAGACCACTCCTATATTCCTAAATCTCTATATCACCATACAATCCTATCTATGGTATTGGGACATCACGATATCGGAAAATCTCCAGCTGGCTGATTCTTACCTGAACATGGCATGGAGGTACCTGAACATGGATGGAGGTGTCTGTGAAGGTTCTCGTCTCTCCAGGTCATGGTATAGCTAGTAGTCGTTAAGGTTACTAGATTTTCATAATAAAATGTGGGGATACCCTAATGCCCATGTTAACCACACCCTCATTTGTAGCCACACCTACAAAATACCTTGGGCACCATGAAAAGAGAAATGATACAGTGCTCATAGGGTGCCTTGCCAAATTGTGGGTGTGGCCAGTTTGTGAAAATAAATGGGCAGGCCATAAGGGGGGGGGGGGTAAATGAGGCACAGGGGTCAGCAGTAAGCAGGCCTTTTTTTTTTTTTTTTCCCAGCAGGAATGTGGGGGAATGCAGTTTTGGCACCTCCAGCACTGAATGTATGTAATGGAAAGGGGTGTGCTGGAGAATCTATTGATGCTGGCTGCTGTGGGATCTATTGTCACTGGTGGGGATCTGTTTTTGTGTGAAAGTCTACTGTTGGTGGGGGAATCTGTTGTTGCTGGGGGGTCTTATGTTGCTGGTAGGGATCTACTGTTGAGGGAGGGGTTGCTGGCTGCTGGGAGATCTATTGTTGCTCATGGGGGTCTAATGATGCGGGAGTAGATCTTTTTGTTGCTGTGGGTGAAGTTTTGTTGTGGGTAGTCCATTGTTGTGTTTGGAGATCTATTGTTGGTTATGAAGTCTAATGTTGTTGCAGGGGATTTATTGTTGCTGGAGTGAGGTCTATTGTTGGGAGACCTATTGTTGCTGGGATAGGGGTCAAGAGTACGCAGGGCTTTTTTTTTTTTTTCAGCAGGAACATGGGGGAACGCAGTTCCGGCATCTCCAGCACTGAATGTATGTAATGGCAAGGGGTGTGCTGGAGGATCTCTTGATACTGGCTGCTGGGTGATCTATTGTCACTGGTGGGGATCGGTTCTTGTGTGAATGTCTATTGTTGCTGGTGGGGGAATATCTGTTGCTGGTGAGGTTGCTGGCTGCTGGGAGAGCTATTGTTTCTCCTGGGGGTCTAATGATGCAGAAGTAGACCTTTTTGTTGCTGTGGGTGAAGTTTTTTGTTGTGGGTGGTTCATTGGTGTTGTGCTTGGAGATCTATTGTTGCTGGTGTGAAGTCTAATGTTGCTGCAGGGGATATATTGTTGCTGGGGTGGGGTCTATTGTTGGGAGACCTATTGTTGCTGGGGTGGGGTCTTTTTTGTTGGGAGACCTATTGTTGCTGGGGTGGGGTCTCTTGTTGAGAAGGTCTATTGTTGCTGGGGTGGGGTCTATTGTTGGGAGGTCTATTGTTGCTGGGGTGGGGTCTATTGTTGGGAGGTCTATTGTTGCTGGGGTGGGGTCTATTGTTGGGAGGTCTATTGTTGCTGGGGTGGGGTCTATTGTTGGAAGGTCTATTGTTGCTGGGGATGGGGTCTATTTTTGGGAGGTCTATTGTTGCTGGGGATGGGGTCTATTTTTGGGAGGTCTATTGTTGCTGGGGATGGGGTCTAGTTTTGGGAGGTCTATTGTTGCTTGGGATGGGGTCTATTTTTGGAGACCTATTGTTGCTGGGGTGTGGTCTCTTGTTGGGAGACCTATTGTTGCTGGGGTGGGGTCTCTTGTTGGGAGACCTATTGTTGCTGGGGTCGATTGTTGAGAAGGTCTATTGTTGCTGGGGTCGATTGTTGAGAAGGTCTATTGTTGCTGGGGTGGGGTCTATTGTTGAGAAGGTCTATTGTTGCTGGGGTGGGGTCTATTGTTGGGACACCTATTGTTGCTGGGGTGGGGTCTATTTTTGGGACACCTATTGTTGGTGGGGTCTATTGAGAGGGTCTATTGTTGCTGGGGTGGGGTCTATTGTTGAGAAGGTCTATTGTTGTTGGCTGCAGGGGATCTATTTTACTGCTTTTCTTGTTATCAACAAATTCCATACAAATTTAGTGCCACAAAATGATACTTGGTTCTGTGTTCTCTAAACAGGTTGGGACTGGGAAGGGGGTAGGGGTTGGAACCAATGGATGGTGCTTGCAGGTGTTTACTATGCTTCAGTTATGAATGAACACAGTGAATGATTGGTGCCATTTACTAGACCTTTCCCCCCTGTAGGGTCCTATTGTGACAGTGGGAAGGAGAGGAGAGAAGCCAGCGGCACTGCAGGGGGAGCCTGGGCAGCAGGGAGAAACGTATAGTGCACAGGGAGGGTGATGGGTGCAGTAGTGGGGCAATTACAGTAACCGATCCCCTGAATGGCTGTCTCTGTAGCAGCTGAAAGTCAGTGATAGGGAGAGGGGAAGAAGCCAGCTTTCAGCTGCTGCAGAGGGAGCCATACAGGGGATCTGTTCCAGTAATTGCACCCCCGCGGTGCCAATCACCCTCCCTGTGCACCATACGTTTATAAGTGTTTGAAAAATATTTTTAACTCTTCCAGTTCCTGATGCTGTCCAGAGCATTTTTTTTCATTGTGAAAAATGCATGCGAAGCGTTTTCAAGGTACTCAAATGGAAAAAATACTGAACACAGGATGTTCCTACCAAGCTTATCACACATTTTAATGACCATTCACACCTCAGACCTCTCCCACCCTTGGAAACAAAAGATATGTTAATGACCATTCACACCTCAGACCTCTCCCACCCTTGGAAACAAAAGATATCTTAATGACCATTCACACCTCAGACCTCTCCCACCCTTGGAAACAAAAGATATCTTAATGACCATTCACACCTCAGACCTCCCCCACCCTTGGAAACAAAAGATATGTTAATGACCATTCACACCTCAGACCTCTCCCACCCTTGGAAACAAAAGATATGTTAATGACCATTCACACCTCAGACCTCTCCCACCCTTGGAAACAAAAGATATGTTAATGACCATTCACACCTCAGACCTCTCCCACCCTTGGAAACAAACGATATGTTAATGACCATTCACACCTCAGACCTCTCCCACCCTTGGAAACAAAAGATACGTTAATGAGCAACTCACACCTAAGCTAATCTCCACACATACTGCTGTCTCTGCTTCTACTCTCTGTATTTCTCTGAAACAGTCTGAAATAGTTCATAATTTACCACTTTTCAGTGCATTCTGGGCATTTGGGAGGTTCTCCTGTTATCTTAAAAAAAACGCTTCTAAAACGCAAACGCGCATAAACAGACTTTTTTTTTTTTTTAAACCTACGTTTTCCAGCAGTTTCCATCGTTCAGGAGTGTCCCGTGTACATGGGGCCTAAGTGAATATTCCCATTGAGATCTGTATTCCCACACAGTAGAAGGCGGTTTTTCAGGGTTTCGGGAAAGTAAAGGTTTCTTGGGTTCCACGCACACGGGGTGTTTTGAGAACGCTGGTAACATTAGCTGTGTAAAGTCACGTTAAAAATGTGAGTTTTTTTTTAGCGTTTCTGCATTAGCGTGTAGCGGAGTTTTCCCGTGTTTGCAGTTTTTAGATTTGTTTTTTGTTTTTTTTTTTTATAAAAAAATTTGAGGTGGGTCAAAAAAAGCTCAAAAACACTGGTTTACTGTTGTGTTGTGCTGCGTTTTTCAGCATTGGAGCATTTTTACAGCTAAACTCCCCTAGAAACCCACTAGTCCTGTTTGTTTTTTGTTTTTTGTTTTTTGTTTTTCAGCCAAAAAACGTTGATTACAGTCTGTGTGCATGGACACATAGGATAGCTTGCTGCAGGGTTTACTGGCTGTAGAAAAAGTCAAAAACAGCCGCTGCAAAAACATCCCGTGCTGGGGCGGACTGACAACTCATTTGGCCCCCCGGGCAATAGGGGATCATGGGGCCCCTGTGTCCTTGCCCAAACTCAAAAAAGCCTATGAAAAAGGTACCAGGGGCATCTCATGGGGCCCCCTACTGACCCCGGGCCCTCGGGCAGTGCCCAAGTTTCCAAATGGTCAGTCCGCCCCTGATCCCGTGTGTATGAGGACTTAGATGCTTGGTGCCAGGGGCGGACTGACCATTGGGGAACTCGGGCACTGCCCGAAGGCCCGGGGTCAGTAGGGGGCCCCATGAGATGTCCCTGGTACCTTTTCATAGGCTTTTTTGAGTGTGGGAAAGGACACAGGGGCCCCATGATCCCCTATTGCCCGGGGGCCCCATGAGTTGTCAGTCCGCCCCTGCTTGGTACCTCCTTACTGCATCTAAGTCCCATACACAGCCATTGTCTAAAGATCTTCAAATTGTAAGACATTCAATCAAAATTGATAAAGCTTTAACTCTTCAACCACAAACACTTTGTTTATAAAAAAAAAAAAAAGATTAAAAATTTTTTTTCCAGATTTTTAATAAACATGTAAAGCTTGCTGTAGAGGGGAGTTGTAGGATTTTGGATTCCCTCAGATGAAGGATGAGATGTTGGATACAATACTCCGAGACACTGTAGACATCCCTGGTGGGATTGGTGTCTCCGCTGTGTCTGGGTGTCTCCCGGCCTCGCTGGCACGCTTCATCCTCTCGTTCCACATCCTGGCACATACTGTCACCGCGTTCCCTGCTGACTCATCACTCCCCATCTGAGCGTCTTTGTTCGCTTCTTCCCCCCTCTTCTTGTCCCACATTTGTTTGTTCAGGTTTGGCGCAAGTTGTCCTCTGATCTTATCTGCGGTTACATAAGGAATCCCTTTTGTTATCCTGGTCCACTGAGTTCTGGCCGTACAGCCGATATTCCTCCACAGATTGTCCTGATTTCCAATTATGGGGATTATTTACTGAAGTTGAAGGGCGTAAAATCTGCTCTGCATAGTAACCAATCAGCTTCCAGGTTTTATTGTCAAAGATTATTTTAAACAAGCTAAAGTTAGAATCTGGTGAAGCTCTACAAGGTAGTCAATCAGCTTCTGAGTGCTCCAGTTTTTGTAAATTTCCTCCATTTTGTCCATAATCATAATTTTCTTGGCCCAACCAAAAACTGTATTCTGTTATGGCTATCAGACTCGCAGTGGTCTGGCCGTCTTAGTGGCGGTCTCTCTCTATCTACCCTTTACCAACGGTCTCAGCACCTCTGTTGGCTGCGGGCTGTCTCTGTATCGATCATTTGGGTAGTGGTCTATCTCTTACTCTGTATCTTCTAATGGGCCTGGTGTGTCTGTCTATGTTGGGCTCACTCACTTTGTCTGGTGGCAGTCTATCTTCTGGTGGACCTTGTATCCTTTTTGTAGTGATCTCTCTCCTTTGGTTGTAGTCTCCTTGCTGTCTCTTCTGGTGGGTCTTGATTTCTGTCTGTTTGTGGTGGTCTTTCCTCTGTTTGTTGGCAGGCTCTTTGTCTTTCTGGTGGTCTTTCTTGTGTGTTGTTCTCACTTTGCTTTCTCTTCTGGTGGGTCTTGGTTTATCTGTGTTTTTGTGATGGTCTCTTTCTCTGGAAGCAGTCATTTTCTCTCCCTCTGTGGTCTCTCCAGATGGTTTCTCAATGTCTCCCTGTTTTGTGGTGGTTTCGCTCTCTTATCTCACTGCAGTCCCTTGCCTCTTTCTGTTGGTTGCTGTCCTTTGGTGGTGGTCTGTCTTTGCTTTGGGATGTGGTTCCTCTCTGTATTGGTCTCTTTCTCTCTGGAAGTGGTCTTTGTCCTTTGGTGGTCATCTATTTGCTTTATCTTCTTGTAGGTCTTGGTTTCCCCATTTGTGGTGGTCTCTTTCTTTCTTTCTCTCTCTCTTTCTTGCTTTCCCTCTCTCCGCTCTTTCGCTTTCCCTCTCTCGCTCTTTCGCGTTCCCTCTCTCGCTCTTTCGCTTTCTCCTCTCTCGCTCTTTCGCTTTCTCCTCTCTCTCTTCGCTCTTTCGCTTTCTCCTCTCTCTCGCTCTTTCGCTTTCTCCTCTCTCTCGCTCTTTCGCTTTCTCTCTCTCTCTCGCTCTTTCGCTTTCTCCTCTCTCTCTCGCTCTTTCTCGCTTTTCGCTCTCCTCTCTCTCGCTCTTTCGCTTTCTCCTCTCTCTCGCTCTTTCGCTTTCTCCTCTCTCTCGCTCTTTCGCTTTCTCCTCTCTCTCGCTCTTTCGCTTTCTCCTCTCTCTCGCTCTTTCGCTTTCTCCTCTCTCTCGCTCTTTCGCTTTCTCCTCTCTCTCGCTCTTTCGCTTTCTCCTCTCTCTCGCTCTTTCGCTCTCCTTCTCTCCTCTCTCTCTTTCGCTTTCTCCTCTCTCTCTCCTCTTTCGCTTTCTCTCTCTCTCTCGCTCTTTCTCTCTCTCTCTCTCTCTCTCTCGCTCTTTCGCTTTCTCCTCTCTCTCTCGCTCTTTCGCTTTCTCCTCTCTCTCGCTTTTCGCTTTCTCCTCTCTCGCTCTCTCCTTCTCTCTCCTCTCTTCGCGCTTTCTCCTCTCTCTCCTCTCGCTCTTTCGCTTTCTCCTCTCTCTCCTTTCTCCTCTCTCTCCTCTCTCCTCTCTTTCGCGCTTTCTCCTCTTTCTCTTTCCTCTCTCTCGGCCTCCCTCATTCGCTCTTTCGCTTGCTTCTCTTTTTCTCTTTTCCTCTTTCGCTCACTTGCTCGCTTGCTCCTCTTTTACTGGCTGTAGAAAAAGTCAAAAACAGCCGCTGTAAAAACGTCCCGTGTGTATGAGGACTTAGATGCTTGGTACCAGGGGCGGACTGACCATTGGGAAACTCGGGCACTGCCTGAAGGCCCGGGGTCAGGGGGCCCCATAAGATGTCCCTGGTACCTTTTCATAGGCTTTTTTGAGTGTGGGCGAGGACACGGGGGGCGCCATGATCCCCTATTGCCCGGGGGCCCCATGAGTTGTCAGTCCGCCCCTGCTTGGTACCACCTTACTGCATCTAAGTCCCATACACAGCCATTGTCTAAAGATCTTCAAATTGTAAGACATTCAATCAAAATTGACAAAGCTTTAACTCTTCAACCACAAACACTTTATTTAAAAAAAAAAAAAAAAAAGCTAAAAAAAAAAAATTCCAGATTTTTAATAAAACATGTAAAGCTTGCTGTAGAGGTGAGTTGTAGGATTTTGGATTCCATCAGATGAAGGATGAGATGTTGGATCTCTCGCTCTTTCGCTTGCTGGCTCCTCTCTCGCTCTTTCGCTGGCTCTTCTCTCGCTCTTTTCGCTGGCTCCTCTCTCGCTCTTTCGCTTTTCCTCGCTCCTCTCTCGCTCTTTCGCTGGCTCCTCTCTCGCTCTTTCGCTTGCTCCTCTCTCGCTCTTTCGCTGGCTCCTCTCTCGCTCTTTCGCTGGGCTCCTCTCTCGCTCTTTCGCTGGTCCTCTCTCGCTCTTTCGCTGGCTCCTCTCTCGCTCTTTCGCTGGCTCCTCTCTCACTCTTTCGCTGGCTCCTCTCTCGCTCTTTCGCTGGCTCCTCTCTCGCTCCTCTTTCTCTCTCTTCGCTCCTCTCTTTCGCTCGGCTCCTCTCTCGCTCGCTCCTCTTTCTCTTTCCTGGAGGGCCTAGTGTCTGTTGTGTTTTTTTTCTCCCTAGTGTCTCAGTTTTTGGTGGACTCATTCTCTCTCTGTTGTCTTCCTTGGTGGGTCCCTTTCTTGTCTCGCCATCTCTCACCTATGCCCCTCTCTGGTTGTTTCTCTTGCAGACGATGCTGAAGCTTCTGGTGGCCGGTCAGGGTAACGCTCGCACAGGGGTGATGATCCCCATCCCTCAGTACCCTCTGTACTCTGCTGCCCTGGCGGAGCTGGGTGCTGTTCAAGTGAATTATTACCTGGATGAGGAGAATTGCTGGGCGCTGGACATCACAGAGCTGCGGAGAGCACTGGAAGAGGCACGGAAACACTGCAACCCCAAAGTGTTGTGTATCATCAACCCAGGAAATCCCACAGGTACCAGAGCGAATGGACCCAGGGCTATATTCCACTGCAAAGACTGGGACCCCACGTGTGGACCTCATAGGTAACAGTGTCTGGGGGGATGAACAATGCCGCTTGCAGGAACGGATTATCCCCCCCCCCCCCAATATATTTCCAGTGATATTTTGAGAAAGAAGCACTTTTATCCAAAAGGTCCATGCATGTCGGGAACACCATGTCTTGGGGGGGGGGGGGGGGGGGGAGAATGAGGCAAAAGTGGACCTGTCACCTACAGTATCCAATCCGATTCCTTCTTTTATTTGAAAGATGGCATTTGCTTGGTTGCAGTTGGCAACTACTCCACTTCTGCAGCTCCTCCGTCTCTCTCCTCTTTCCTTTTTGTTTCTATACCCCCCTCCCCTCCCTTTCCCGTTTTTTATCTTTCTTTCATGCTGATTTTATGTCTGTCTTTCCCAGGTCAGGTTCAGAGCCGGAAATGTATTGAGGATGTCATTCGTTTTGCTGCTGAAGAAAATCTTTTCCTGATGGCCGATGAGGTATGATGTAGAACACAAGTTTTAAAGCTGAAGTTTAAATGTTTTTTCCCTGGTTTCCCCCTCCACCCCATCAACATGTGAATACCATTTTTATATTAAACCTTTCCATTTTTATATACCTTATTGTAGACCTAGTGACGTCATCGCTGGGTTTGTGATACATAGTTACATAGTTAGTCTGGCTGAAAAAAAAAAAAAGTCCATCCAGTTCAACCATTAAAAAAAAAAAAAAAAGTTTTATAATCCTACACCCACAGTTGATCCAGAGGAAGGCAAAAAAATACCCAGCAAAGCACGATCCAATTTGCTCCTGCAGGGGGAAAAAAATTCCTTCCTGATCCCCCGAGAGGCAATCGGATATTCCCTGGATCAACTTTCCCTATAAATGTTATATCCAGTTATATTCTGTGTATCCAAGAAAGAATCCAGGACTTTCCTACAGCAATCCACTGAGCTGGACACAACCAACTCTGGAGGGAGTCTATTCCACATTCTCACAGCTCTCACTGTAAAGAAACCTTTCCGTGTTTGGAGATTACATTTCTTTTCCTCCAGATATAAAGAGTGCCCCCTTGTCTCTGTGATGATCTCAGGGGGAATAGCTGTGCAGGCAGATCATGTCTGGTGTGTTTATTTCTGAATGGATCTGATGCTTTGAACAATGAACATTATTACATCCTGGCCAGGGGCGTACGGACAACTCATGGGGCCCCCGGGCAATAGGGGATCATGGGGCCCCTGTGTCCTTGGCCTAACTCAGAAAAGCCTATGAAAAAGGTACCAGGGGCATCTCATGGGGCCCCCTACTGACCCCGGGCCCTCGGGCAGTGCCTGAGTTTCCAAATGGTCAGTCCGCCTCTGATCCTGGCATCCTCCAAAGCCACAGTCCAAGCAGATGTGTGTAACTATTTCCTGTATGTCTAGGTTAAATAGTGTTTTTGTTTTTTTTTTTTTTTTTTTTTGTTTTTTTTTTTTGTTTTTTTTTTGTGTGTTTTTGTATGGAGCAGGGAAGGGTCAGTTGTCCATACTGACCCACATGGAAGAAAAATATATTTGAAATTTATTTTAAAATTATTCTTCCCAAATATATTGCCATATATTTATACTACAATTATTTATTTATACTACAATTTTGGCCGTATTTATAGATACATTTCTATATCTATCATGTTGAAATGCGTTTTTGTTACAAAATATGTTTAAAAATTCATTTCAAATCTAGTGTGTTTTTTAAAAATAAAAATCTACATTTTTGGAATGCCTTTACAAATATGTTAAAATGAGTTTTTTATATATTAAAAAAAAATCTGAAGAATATAATTAAAAAAATGTTTTTAAAAATATTGTATTTTTTAAATATATATATTTAAAAAATATATATGTTTTTAAAATATTGTATTTTTAAAATATATATATATTTTTAAAAATATTGTATTTTTAAATATATATATATTTTTTAAAAATATTGTATTTTTAAATATATATGTATTTTTAAATATATATATATTTTAAAAAATATTGTATTTTTAAATCTATATATAGTTAAAAAAAATATATATTTTTTAAAAAATATTATATTTTTAAATCTATAGTTAAAGATATATATTTTTAAAAATATTGTATTTTTAAATATATCCTTTAGATTTTTTTTTTTTTTTACATATAAAAAAAAAAAAAGTAATTTTAACATATTTTTACCTAATATTTGTAAATGCATTCCAAAAATGTAGATTTGTATTTTTAAAAACATACAGTATATTTGAAATGTATTTTAAATATTTTTCATATATTTTGTAATAAAAACGTATTTCAATATGCAGTACAGATATATTTATTGAAATTTATATTTTAAAATATATTGAATATGGCCAAAATTTTAGTATTTCAAATATATGGCAATATATTTGGGAAGAATATTTTTAAAATATATTTTTTCTTCCATATGGGGAGGAGCTTTCCTGTTCCAGAGACCACACAGGAAGCAATGGGGCAGCACAGTGGCTAAGTGGTTAGCACTTCCACCTGGCAGTACTCGGGTCATTGGTTCGAAACCCAACCACGGCACCACCTGCCTGGAGTTTGCATGTTCTCCCCTGTGCCTCTGGGTGCTCTGGTTTCCTCCCGCACTCCAAAGACATGCTGGAAGCTGAATTGGCTCCTGTCTAAATTGTCCTTTGTATGTGATTGTATGAATGTGAGTTAGGGACCTTAGATTGTACGCCCCTTGAGGGTTAGGGACTGATGTGAATGTACAATATATATGTAAAGCGATGGCGCTATATAAGTACCTGTAATAAATAATAATAAATAATGCCAGCAGGGACACCTTCCTCAACCCAAAAATACGTTTGGGCCAGGAGCTCCACAATAATAGAAGCATTGCCCACCGACATGGTCAGCATATGGTGTCACTGAGAGGGAAGTGCAGAAACTCCATAGCAGACCTTCCCCTGTGACATTGGCACCACACCATAAGCGTCAATGGCCAGTTATAATGGTGTCAAAACAGGCAGCTACCTGGGAGCCCCCCGGGAACCCCGTAAGGATGCATAGAACATTTTACCTATGCAAGTCTATTGACTGCCTTTCTCAATCTTTTTTAATATAAGACAGAACCCTTGAAATATCTTCTCAGGGAATCCCTGCTCACCCTCACTGTACATTAGTGCGATGGTCAAGAAGATGAATGCTCCTTACATTTGTGGTCAGCGGGGAACCCCCCCCCCCCCCCTGGCTTACAGATAGCTAAAACGATCAATGGTGTCAGTGGCAACTTTTCTGAGAGGCAGAAATTTCTCATTGCTCAAGGAACCCCTAGCAACTTCTGGAAGAACTCTGGGGTCCATGGAATACTGGTTGAGAGAGGCTGCTGTAGACTTTTATTTCAGATCTGCAATGGTAGCCCTGGGTAAAGGTTTCACCTTGGGATCAGAAGTGAGAAAACCAACACCAATGAGCAATCCACAACAACCTACAGCAACATTTCTCAACCTTTTCAACACAGAGGAACCCTTGACATAACTTTCCAATGTCAGGGAACCCCTGCTAAAGTTACTGTATCTACAACTCATGATACATGAATGTGATGGTGAATGGGAAGAATGCTCCTTACACTTGTGGTCATTGGGAAGAAATCGCCCCTTACAGATAGCTAAAAAGATCATTGGTGTCAGTGGGAACTTGTCTGAGAGGCAGAAATTGCTCAAGGAACCCCTAGCAACCTCTGGAGGAACCCTAGGGTTCTATGGAACCCTAGTTGAAAAACCATGACCTGGTCTCCAAGACAACATGTTTCAAGGCATGACCTCTTTGTCAGATTTTGGAGATGGAGAAAAGGGGCCCATGGAACACTGGTTGAGAGAGGCTGCTCTAGACTTTTTATTTCATATCTGCAATGGCAGCCCTCAGTACAGGTTTCCTTTAAGATGACCCTTATCCAATTAGGCTTGTTGGCGCCGTACAACTGCCTGGGATCCACCAGACAATAAATCCACCGCTGGTGACCGTGTCCGGGGATACCAACTTTTTAATGCTGTTGCTCTTGCAGGTCTACCAGGATAATGTCTATGCCAAAGGCTGTGCCTTCCACTCCTTCAAGAAGGTTTTGTTTGAGATGGGCCCCAAATACTCCGATGTGGTGGAGCTGGCTTCCTTCCATTCTACGTCCAAAGGATTCATGGGAGAGTGTGTATCTACTGCTCATTAACGATTTACTCACCAAACCATATTGTGGGTTGTTCCAACCTCTGTAACAATCTGTCCTTTGTGTTTCCCAGGTGCGGCTTCCGAGGGGGCTACATGGAGGTGGTCAATATGGACCCAGCAGTGAAGCAGCAACTGACCAAACTGGTGTCTGTCCGTCTGTGTCCCCCTGTGCCCGGACAGGCTCTGCTGGACGTGGTGGTGAATCCCCCTCAACCTGGAGACCCCTCCTACAAAGAGTTCATAGCGGTGAGATTAAATATCCCCATTAATGTCAGACACTAAGTTGCGCTGACATATTCCACAGTGCTGTACAGAGAACACTGAGCCAGTCACATCAGCCAGTACCAGAGGAGCTGACACTCTAATGTCCCCTCCCCCCACAGTCACATCAGTCTCTGTACCAGAAGAGCTTACACTCTAATGCCCCCTCCCCCACAGTCACATATACATATATATATGTGTTATTTATTCAATATATTTTATTTTTTTCCAATTATTGATGGTCATTACATTTTGTATAATTATATATATGTATTTATATTATTTATGTATTTATATTTTTATATATATATTTATATTTTGTGTATATATAAAAAAAAAAAAACCACAAAAATATATATATAAAATAATATAATTATTCAATATTTTATTTTTTTCAAATTGATGGTCATTGCACACATTTTGTATAGCAGAGTATTTTTACACCAATATTGATGTAGATACTGTTTTGATTATACAGAAGGTTTGCACTATTATGAGAGAGTTTGGTGAGGCGCACTGTTCTAATGAACTATTTACCTTTTTATATCACCTTGGTCTAAGGATTAATTAGCTGTTCTTCTTTTCCCCCTCCCCCCTTTCTGTGTGTGTGTGTGTGTGTGTAGTATGTATATATATGTGTGTGTGTATATACAGTGGGGATCGAAAGTTTGGGCACCCCAGCTAAAAATTTGTATTAATGTGCATAAAGAAGCCAAGGAAAGATGGAAAAATCTCCAAAAGGCATCAAATTACAGATTAGACATTCTTATAATATGTCAACAAAAGTTAGATTTTATTTCCATCATTTACACTTTCAAAATAACAGAAAACAAAAAAAATGGCGTCTGCAAAAGTTTGGGCACCCTGCAGAATTTATAGCATGCACTGCCCCCTTTGCCAAGCTGAGACCTGCCAGTGTCATGGATTGTTCTCAATCATCGTCTGGGAAGACCAGGTGATGTCAATCTCAAAGGTTTTAAATGCCCAGACTCATCTGACCTTGCCCCAACAATCAGCACCATGGGTTCTTCTAAAGCAGTTGTCTAGAAAACTGAAACTGAAAATAGTTGACGCTCACAAAGCTGGAGAAGGCTATAAGAAGATAGCAAAGCATTTTCAGATGTCAATATCCTCTGTTCGGAATGTAATTAAGAAATGGCAGTCATCAGGAACAGTGGAAGTTAAAGCAACATCTGGAAGACCAAGAAACATATCAGACAGAACAGCTCGCAGGATTGTGAGAAAAACAATTCAAAACCCACGTTTGACTGCACGATCCCTCCAGAAAGATCTGGCAGACACTGGAGTTGTGGTACACTATTCCACTATAAAGAGATACTTGTACAAATATGGTCTTCATGGAAGAGTCATCAGAAGAAAACCTCTTCTACGTCCTCACCACAAAAATCATCGTTTGAACTTTGCAAATGAACATATAGACAAGCCTGATGCATTTTGGAAACAAGTTCTGTGGACCGATGAGGTTAAAATTGAACTTTTTGGCCGGAATGAGCAAAGGTACGTTTGGAGAAGAAGGGGCACAGAATTTAATGAAAAGAACCTCTGTCCAACTGTTAAGCATGGGGTTGGATCAATCATGCTTTGGGGTTGTGTTGCAGCCAGTGGCACAGGGAAACATCTCACGAGTAGAAGGAAAAATGGATTCAATAAAATCTCAGCAAATTTTGGATGGTAACTTGATGCCATCTGTGAAAAAGCTGAAGTTAAAGAGAGGATGGCTTCTACAAATGGATAATGATCCTAAACACACCTCGAAATCCACGGGGGATTACATCAAGGGGCGTAAACTGAAGGTTTTGCCATGGCCTTCACAATCTCCTGACCTCAACATCATTGAAAATCTATGGATAGACCTTAACCTCCCTGGCGGTATTCCCGAGTGTAGCTCGGGGTAACATTTCAGTACCAAAAGCGGTAACCCCGAGCTACACTCGGGAATACCATGCGGCACTGCTCCGGCATGTGTTCTTCACTTACCTTACCCTTCGCTCCCACGATGTGTCCCCTGCAGCGTCCCCGGCCATCTCCTCCGGCCGATGCCGGCATCCGACTTCTGTGTCCTGTCCCTGTGACGTCGGGACGTACGGGCGCCGCCGCCGCCGGCGGGCGGGAAAATTTAAAAATTTAAAAAAATGTCTTTTTTTTTTTTTTTACATTTTACATAGTAAAACATTGCTGTCTCAACCAATTTCACATACATATTGTCCCGAGTGCTTTGTCCGGCGCCCTGCCTGCATTTTGTCTGTTCTTTCTGCCTGGAAACTGAGAAACGTCCATGGCGTCCAAAAAGCGTCCCTTTAGGTCAGACGCGGTTTTAGACCGGCTAGAGAACAGCGATAGTAAATCAGAACCACTTGCAGAATTGAGTGATAATGATTGGTGGGGGAAATTCCTCATCAGACACTGAAAACGATTTTGCGACTGAGCTCAGCAATGTGCGAACTTGGCGCTATATTTCACATTTCAGTGTTTTTTGGTTTGATTATATTATTATTATTTTTATGATTATTTATTAAATTATAATTTATGATTTTGTGTTTCAAATTTTATCATACCCGGGATGTTTACTAGACTCTTGTTCGGACAGATTTCAGTGAGTTTTTCCTAAAAATTACAGCCTACAATAAAAAAAATACATATTTCCATGCAAAAAAATGGTACCGCTTTCAGCACCAAAAATCTGAAATAATCAGACCGCCAGGGAGGTTAAAAGAGCCGTGCGTGACAGACAGCCCAGAAATCTCAAAGAACTGGAAGACTTTTGTAAGGAAGAATGGGCAAAGATACCTCAAACAAGAATTGAAAGACTCTTGGCTGGCTACAAAAAGCGTTTACAAGCTGTGATACTTGCCAAAGGGGGCAGTACAAGATATTAACTCTGCAGGGTGCCCAAACTTTTGCAGACGCCATTTTTTTGTTTTCTGTTATTTTGAAAGTGTAAATGATGGAAATAAAATCTAACTTTTGACATATTATAAGAATGTCTAATCTGTAATTTGATGCCTTTTGGAGATTTTTCCATCTTTCCTTGGCTTCTTTATGCACATTAATACAAATGTTTAGCTGGGGTGCCCAAACTTTCGATCCACACTGTATATGTGTGTGTGTGTGTGTGTGTGTGTGTGTGTGTGTGTGTGTGTGTGTGTGTGTGTATATATATATATATATATATATATATATATATATATATATATATATATATATGTGTGTGTGTGTGTGTGTGTGGTGTGTGTGTGTGTGTGTGTGTGTATGTATGTATGTATGTATGTATGTATATGTGTGTGTGTGTGTGTGTGTGTGTATATATATATATATATATATATATACATACATACATACATCCAGTGGCGTGTCCATTATATATAAAATATTCCATTTATGTCTTCTCCATTCCTCTAGGAGAAACAAGCGGTCCTCGGTAATCTGGCAGAGAAAGCTCGACTGACCGAAGAAATCCTGAACCAGGCACCCGGGATACAATGTAACCCTGTCCAGGGCGCTATGTACTCCTTCCCCAGGATAGAGATGCCGGAGCGGGCCATCAAACTGGCACAGGTAAGCCAGACAATGAGATGTGCTGGGATTGGGCGCAGGAAGGTCAGAGGATTCTTGTCTGTTTATTCAATTCTAGTAGTAGCTGCACTCTGCCAAAGTTACAATTTAAGGTTGATATAAGTCTTAACTGGATGATGATGATGATGACGATGATGATGATATATATCATTTTTATACAAAAAAAAAAAAAATAGATAGTAAAACAAATCTTACATAACCAAACCCTTGGGGTCCATCCACTCAGAAAAGATCTATGTGGGAAATAGACAAAAATATAACTAATAGCACAACCGTACCAGAATATGTTCCAACATGGCATGTATTCTTTGGTCACTTCTCACCTCTAAGGGGCTTTAGGGTTTGAGCGTTGTATGGGGAATAGTTGAGCATTATTGTCATGGTCTTGTAATACCAGCACTGTATACTACCTCTAGATATGCTCTTATAAAATTCTGGATTCCACTAAGCAGAAGTCTGTGAAGGTTCTCATTTATCCAGGTCTTGAGATATGTGGTTGTTGGTCATGGTCATGACCAACAACTACTGATGATGATGTGTTTTAGCTCCTTCGCACTGGTAGCCATGGAATCTGTCACACCAGATGTCGATTTGTCCACAAAAAAGGTTACATAGGCTAAAAAAAAACAAAGGTCCATCTAGGTTGGGTGATATGAAAGCTGTGGAACCCCTTGCTGTTCTAGTTACATCATCTCCTCTGTCGTCTGTGCCATTTACCATCTCTATCCTGGTGTGAATTGGCAAAACACGTCAAGGAAAAATCCTCAATGGAAGTTTCCTGGTGGTGAAAACGATGGACCAGGACTGTGCCATGTGTGTTGAAACTTGTACTTTCCATGAGAAGCCCATGTGACTTGGTGTCAATTGGGAGACTGAGACAGAGTGTTGTCACCCTGTAAGATCTGTCACAAGGTTCTTCAGGGCAGGTTCACCAGGGATGAGTTCAATGAAAGCTGCAGGTTTAAAACTCTTAAATGATATTAACATTTTAAAAACTATAGAGATTTCACTTACTGGGTTTACGTCTACTTTGAGATACTTAGACATGGGTCCACCCAACCCTACAGAAGAGGTCCACCCAGACCGACTGTTTACAGGACTCATGGCTGTCTACTCCTTTTCTGTAGGCACCTTGATAGAGATTTAGAATTAAACATCTTAAAGGTTTTTGTATAAATACATACAAGGTCCTTATACTGTAAGTCCTAGGTGAATTATATCTTCTGCTCCTTGGTATAAATACCAGCTCAAGAAGAGTTCTTTACTATGAGTGAGGAACGTGTACTTGTAGTCGTTGAAGTATTTTGAAGCATGCGGATTGGTGTAATAACAGGCAGCTGGAGGTAGCTTATCACAGCCCCCAGGAGCTCCAAAACCCACTCTTAGGCAAACTAAAATTTAGGCAGAGTCGGAGCTTGGACCTTCTACTTGCACTCCACCTTTTAGCCCATCGCTGTGAAGGAGGCTCTCGCTATCCAATAAAATATACTAGTGAGGTTGGATGGAGTAGGTCAAAGTTCCATCTTCCAGTTTTTTGTCAAAATTTGAATTCTTGCCTATCTTTGTCTACTGTGCTGTGAGTTGTCAATTGTATGATACTAATAAAATGTCCCATTTATGCTGCACTTAGTCTGGCACCCCTCTGCTTCCTTCTACCTGCAGACAATGGTAGGTCCTTAGTCAAAAACAAAGTGAGCGCTCTCCAATATAGCAGCTGATACACTCAGGTAACCAAATGAAACCTCCAAAGTACAATATGCAAGATAACCCCTCGCCCTCCTGAGGATTTACCCCCCTTAATGACCACGCCTCTTTTTGCTACTCGGCGCTGCACTAATTCAACTGATAATTGCGCGGTCATGCAATGCTGCACCCAAACGAAATTTTTGTCCTTTTTTTCACACAAATAGAGCTTTCTTTCGGTGGTATTTGATCACCTGTGCGCTTTTTATTTTTCACGCTATAAACAAAAAAAGGCCAAACATTTTGAAGAAAAACAATATTTTTTACTTTCAGCTATAAAAAATATATAGTAAACTCAAAGTTGGTTATAAATTTAGGCCAAAATGTATTCTGCTCCATGTTTTTTGGTAAAAAAAATCCCAATAAGTGTATATTGATTGCTTTGTGTGGAAGTTATAGCGTCTACAAACTATGGTATAGATACTGCAATTTACGCCATTTTTTTGCTATACAGCGCAGCGCTAGTTTAACGGACAATTGCGCGGTCATGCAATACGGTACATAAATGAAATTTACATCCTTTTATTTTCCCCACAAATTGAGCTTTCTTTTGGTGGTATTTGATTGCCTGTGCAGTTTTTATTTTTTGTGCTATAAAAAAAGAGGCTGACAATTTTGAAGTAAAAAAACAATATTTTGGACTTTTTGCTATAAAACATGTCCAGTAAAAAAAAATTTAAAAATCAAATTTAGTCATAAATTTCTGCCAAAATGCATTCTGCGACATGTCTTTGCTAAAAAAAAAAAAAACCAAATACGTGTAAATTAATTGGTTTACGTGAAAGTTATAGCGTTTACAAATGGCGGGAAAGATACTGGGATTTTTAGGTTTTTTTTATACTAATAATGGCGGCGATCAGTGACTTATGGCGGTGATCAGGGACTTATGGCGGCGATCAGCGACTTATGGCGGGACTGCAGCGGACATTCTGACACGGGGGGGGGGGTACTGACTTGGGGTCACTGACATCCCCAGTGACACCAATACAGTGATCAGTGCAAAAAAAAAAAAAACAGACACTGTACTAATGGCACTGGGGAGGAAGGGGTTACGTTTATTTTTCAGGGAAAGGGTTAACTGTGTGAGGGGGAGTGTTTTACTAGGGGGCGGGGGTGTGTGCTGCACGGGACACGCTGATCGGGAGAGAGAAACTCTTCTGTCCCGATCAGCTTGTCCTGGAGCTGTCAGGGAACTGACAGAAAGCACAGCTACTGCAGCTGTGCTCTCTGTCAGCGATTGCCGCCGATCGCCGGGACATAGCCGGTAAGGACCGGCTGTGATCAGGCGACTGACATCCGCTGCTGTGATCGGCGGGACAGTTAGGGCGGCGGCGCGCCCCCTACCTGTTTACAAAACACACGTTTTAAAACGTGGTTTTGCCCAGCCGTGCCACCCTGCTGCAGTATTTATACAGTGGCTGGGCGGCATGTGGATAGTGATTCCAGTGATCCAGTATCCAGAGGAAGGGAATCCCTGTAACCAGGTGGCTGACCCTATCCATCCTAAAGGGGACCTCTGGATTAAGCAGACTTCACCCATTGACCGCTGTGCTGCCCATTCCTTGAAGGATGAGCTTCATACACCTACCATACCTCATACCCTAAGTGTCCTGAGGTGGATATATTAATGCGTATACCCTATGTGCATCTGGTAAGTGCGCAATCTTCTCATTCCTTCAGAGCACCGGTATATCGATTTCTGCCTACTTCTGGATTCACCTTACCATATACCCATAGACTCATTCCTATGTGGATTTTACTGTGATCATTTCTCTAATTGTTTTATTTACCGCTGCACTTGATCTTGCAAATGGTAGGTCCTTTCAGTTGTGGATAAGTGACAATTTTTTTTTTTTTTTTTTGGTTGTTTACAAATGTTTTTATTAGGAGATAAACAAAAACAGCACCACTTCATGAAGTATAGTATACATTAAGAAAAAAGCACATAAAAAAAACCCCAGAATCATAGAAAAAGAAAGTTTGAGTACATGCATGAGGTAGGCAGTAAGATATACTGAACAACTACACAACCAACAAAGTTACAATGCCAATAAATCTATGATAACCCATCATTCTAACATTCAATGCCAAAATGTCTTCCAACCATCCCATTTTCTGTTGAATAATTGCATCCTAGCTAGCAATGTATATTGAATACGTTCCATGAGCATAACCATATCAACTCTCCGAAAAACCAAGGACAAAGGCACTGCTGGTGACTTCCAATGAAGGGCAATGGCCCATAGGGTAGAGACACAGTATGAATTATCCTCATTACGTTGGTTGGGATCGCTGAAATGGGAGATCTCAAACAATTTTGCAATGACAAATTTCCGCCAAGGCTGAGGCCACCTCAGAAACTTTACGACAGATCAAAGAAAGACCTGGGGAAGCCCAAAACCTATGCACCAGGGTACCAGCAAGCCCACAACCCCTAAAACAGAGGTGCGACGTTCCTGGAAACATATGTAGTCTAGAGGGGGTATAATACCAATGGGTTAAAACCTTTTAAGGGCCGTCTCATGAACTGAAAGAGACCTAGAACCCCTACGTATGTCATCCACCATGGATTCCCAGTCCTCTTCTGAAAATGTAATACCGCAATCAACCTCCCATTTCTGTCTATATAAGGGGGGGTGAGGCAAAGATGGCATTCGAGAAGGAGCGATATAAATTCAAAATAAGACCCCTACCCCTGGGAGAGTCACGACTGATACGTTCAAAATAATTGATCGGGGACGAAGGTGTCGGTCCAAAATGGGAACTAAAAAAGTGTCTTATTTGCCGATATCGATGTTAATCTCGAAGCGGAATATCAAAAAACGTCCGTAATATGTGACAATCTTTAAAGGTATACTTGCTGCAGGTTTACTTAATCTGTGGTATTTGAAAGGGAACTGTGGTGTGTAAATGGCTCTATGTGCTCTGTAAAGTAATATATTGGCACCAAGTAGGGGATCCCTATTGTAAATGGTCAGTTGAGAAAGAGGTCTTAACAATAACAGCAGGCAAGCTGTGAGATGTCCCTCCAGTAATAGCAAAATCCGTAATCCTAATGCCCTTTCTGATTCTAAGGTTTTCTTTCCTTCCTCTGGACTTGGTTAAAGTTGTGTCTGAAGGACCTGCATCTCCTAGGCTTAGAGTATGGAGCCCATAGTGTTTTTTTTTCCTCTGTGGTGACCTGTATCTCCCTCTAATCACCCCCAGGCAGAAGGCCAGGCCCCAGATATGTTCTTCTGCATGAAACTTCTGGAAGAAACTGGGATCTGCGTTGTTCCAGGGAGCGGCTTTGGCCAGCGGGAGGGGACACACCACTTCAGGTAAGAACCATTTAGTTGTACCAGCTGGGGGAACCAATCGGGCACTGACCCTTGATGATATGGAGGTCAGATAAGTCACCGAACAGCTCCAGGGACTTCAAGGTAGCATCTTCAAAGTCATCTTATTTACAGTTGCAAGAAAAAAGTATGTGAATCCCTTGGGATTACGTGGAGTTTTGCATGAATTGGGCATAAAATGTGCTCTGAACGTCATCTAAGTCACAACAATAGAAGAACACAGTCTGCTGAACATAATACTACACAAACATTAGATGTTGCCCATGGTTTAATTGCACATAACATGTAAACATTCACAGAGCAGGGAGGAAAAAGTATGTGAACCTTTGGACTTAATAACTGGTTGACCCTCCTTTGGCAGCAATAACCTCAACCAAACGTTTCCTGTAGTTGCAGATCAGACCTGCACAACGATCTGGAGTCATTTTGGACCACCCTCTTCACAAAACTGTTTCAGTGTAGCAATATTCTTGGGATGTCTGGTGTAAATCGCTCTCTTAAGGTCAGGCCACAGCATTTCAATCGGGTTGAGGTCAGGACTCTGACTGGGCCACTCCAGAAGGCGTATTCTGTGCTGTTGCAGCCATTGTTTTGTTGAATTACTTGTATGCTTTGGGTCATTGTCCTGTTGCATCACCCATCCTCTGCGGAGCTTCAGTTGGCGGACAGATGGTCGTACGTTTTCCTGCAAAATGTCTTGATAAACTCTGGAATTCATTTTCCCATCAATGACAACAATCCGTCCAGGCCCTTAGGCAGCAAAGCAGCCCCAAACCATGATGCTCCCTCCGCCATGTTTTACAGTTGGGATGAGGTTTTGATGTTGGTGTGCTGTGCCTTTTTTTCTCCACACATAGTGTTGTGTGTTCTTCCCAAACAACTCAATCTTGGTTTCATCTGTCCACAGTATATTTTGCCAGTAGTGCTGTGGAACATCCAGGTGCTCTTTTGCAAACTTCAAACGTGCTGCAATCTTCTTTTTGGACAGCAATGGCTTCCTCCGTGGTGTCCTCCCATGTACTCCATTCTTGCTTCATGTTTTCCTTATTGTAGATGTGTCAACAAACATGTTAGCATGCGCCAGAGATTTCTGTAGGTCTTTAGCTGACACTCTGGGATTCTTCTTTACCTCATGCAGCATTCTGCGCTGTGCTCTTGCAGTCATTTTTACAGGACGACCACGCCTAATGAGAGTAGCAACAGTGCTAAACTTTCTCCATTTGTAGACAGTCTGTCTTACCGTGGACACATGAACATCAAGGCTCAAGGAGATACTTTTGTAACCCTTTCCAGCTTCATGCAAGTCAACAATTCTTGATGGTAGGTCTTCTGAGAGCTCTTTTCTGCGAGGAATAGTTCACATCAAACAGTGCTTCTTGAAACCAGTAAACCCAAAACAGGTGTGTGTTTTTAACGGCAGGACAGCTGTCAGCAACACATCCAATATCATCACACTGATTGGAGTCAAGGTTGGCTCACTCCTGGCTCCAATTGGCTCTGGGAGAAGTCATTAAGCTAGGGCCTCACTTACTTTTTCCTCCCTGCACTGTGAATGTTTACATGTTATGTGCAATTAAACCATGGCAACATCTAATGTTTGTGTAGTATTATGTTCAGCAGACTGTGTTCTTCTATTATTGTGACTTAGCTGATGTTTAGAGCACATTTTATGCCCAATTCATGTAAAACTCCACGTAATCCCAAGGGGTTTTACATACTTTTTTCTTGCAACTGTATTGTGTTCTTAACACATCCACCATACGTCATGCAGGCATCGTGGCAAAGAAAGCCGTCCATTTATATTGGGCTACAGTTCAGTTCATGGAACAAACAATCCCTCAGTGTAAGGACTTGAAGGGTGCCAGCAATGATCTCCCTGAACCGTAAGACTTTTGGCATGATCCATAGTTATGAACAATTTGTCCATCTAAATGAGAATGTTCATAAAACAGTTTAATCATTTTATTGATTACTGGTGACACAAATTGTGGCATTCTTTGAGCCTAATTCGAGTCCAAAGTTCATAAATGAGGCTTAGAATGATTGCATAGTAAGCAAATCAATAATTGGTTCAATTCCAAAATTCATAAATAAAGCTTGAAGTACTCGCATAGGTATCCGCGGTGTGTGCAGCAATTAGTTCAGCATAGTATTGACCTCGGTGGGGAATGAAATTGGGAGGTGCCACAGTCATCAACACCCGATTTTCAGGTGCCCTGTGGTTAAGATGGATGAGGAAAGAATCTGGCTGGCCACGACACCAGAACTGATGAACTGGAAGTGCATCACTGTGGGATCAAAACTGACAAAACCAACATCAATGAGCAATCCACGACGGCCTACAGCAATGTTTCTCAACCTTGTCAACACAGAGGAACCCTTGAAATAACTTTCAGGTCTCAAGCAACCCTGCTAAAGTTACTAAACCCACAACTCATGGTACATTAATGTGATGGTCAGTGGGAAGAATGCTCCTTACACTTGTGGTCATTGGGAAGGAGAAGGTTGGGAAGGAAGAAATTACCGCTTTTACAAGTAGCTAAAAAGATCATTGGTGTCGGTAGGAACTTATTTGAGTGGCAGAAATTGATCACTGCGCAAGTAACCCCTGGCAACCTCTGGAGGAACCCTAGGGTTCTATGGAACCCTGGTTGAAAAACCAAGGAACCCCTGGCAACCTCTGGAGGAACTCTAGGGTTCTATGGAGCCCTGGTTGAAAAAACATTTTCTGAAGGGCTGGATAGAAGCAAGCAAAGGGCCGCATCTAGCCCCTGGGTTGCAGTTTGGAGACCACTGGTCCACAGCATCTCTGGTTTCCAAGACAACATGTTTCGAGGCATGGCCTCTTTGTCAAATCTTGGAGATAGAGATCAGGGGCAGGATTATATAGCAAGTGATCTTGTCTGATTGGGCCAGGGGCGGGGGCAACCTGATAGTATATGCTGCTCACCACATCCACCATTATTTTGAAGCCTACATAGCCAACCACAATATATTGCAGCTCAAATCACACATATATAAAAAGTAATATTATGTATTCAGAAAACTATTTTATCTACTGATACCAACAATGGGCACAATTCCTTCCACTGACACCAACAATGAGGCACAATTTCTCCCACTGACACCAAACAAGGGGCATTCTATTTACCCACTGATGTCAGGACATTTTTTACTCCCAGCAGCCACAGTCTTTTAGAAAATTTGGAGACCCCTGCTGTAGGCTGTCGGTGATCACTCCTTGGTGTTGGTTTCGTCACGTCCGGTCCCGCGGTGACACACTTTCAGCTGATCAGTTCTGGTGTCTCGGCCTGCCGGATTCCGTAGTTTTCTCATCCATCTTGACCATGGGACACCTGCAGGTTGGGTGTTTGTTTGACTGGAACCTCCCAATTCCAATGTCCACTGAGGTCAATACTAGGCTGAGCTATTTGCTGCACACTGCGGATGTCTATGTAAGCACTTTGAGCTTTATGAACTTTGAAGTTGGAAAAATTGATTACTGGTGACACAGATTGTACATTGTATTCTTTGAGCTTAATTTGTGTGTTATGAACATTCCGGTTTGGTTGGACAATTTGTTCATAATGTTATGAATGCTGTGCATCATACCAGGAGTCTTAAGGCTCAGTGAGAACATTGCTGGCTCTCTTCAAGTCCTTCAAGTCCCTGACTGTTTCCTGTGCTATCTTTTCTCCAGTGGGACCTTGTGGTTGAGAAATGTCCCAACAATCCTGCTGCTACAAGTGCCATGGCTGTTCCTTTTTTTTTTTTTGCGTGATTTCAGTTCATGGGCAGACCCTTTCTGAAACTGAAACTTGATTGAAAAATACTATAAAGAAGCTACATTTGAAGACGGTACTTTTAAGTCTCTTGTGACATTCCTTGTTTGATAGACTATTAAACCCCAGGGGTGCCTTGGGAAGGATCACTGCACGGGGCTATATATGTATTGAGTCGTGTAGACATTCTGGTATCCAGTGACATATATGATCACCATGAATGATGTTGGGGCCTGTGTTTGTTCCAGGAAAGTTGACCTCCTGACTTTCTCTCTGTCCCCAGGATGACCATCCTGCCACCTACTGAAAAGCTGAAGATTCTCTTGGAGCGACTGAAGGACTTCCACCAGAAATTTGTCCAGGAATACTCCTAGACGGTGAAGTCACAATGCTGAAAAGACCTTGGATGACGGTGACTTGAGGAGAGATGCGTCCAATAAACTGTAGATGCTCTTAATAGATTTTGCACCTTTCTAAGTCAGCCAAGTATGTTTTGTGTGCCAAATTTTGCCCAAAGAATAAAGTGTTCTGTGATCCTTCAAGAAGGCCGGGCGGTGAGAGCCGCTTGGCTTTGGCCCCCTGGAAAGGTTGAGGTCTGTCTTCGGGGGTAGAGCACGTAGGTTGTAAAAATTTTATTAAGCCAATATATTGTAGATCTTGATCATTAATAGTATTATGTGGAGGTTGGGCTTCTGCCGCTTATAGATGGTACTTCACTAGGAAATTCTAAGCCATGGAGGAGATCCTCGATACGGTTACTATGTGCCTACAATATTTTATCTCTCAAGGACTGATGGTCACATGTCCACCATGTAACCTCCCATGGATTATGCAGGTGTCACCTTCATTTTATGCACGGATGGCTCCTACTTCAAATCTTAGTTTCAAGTGGTGTGTGTGCGTCTCCACCCATAAACCCTGATCAAGTGCCATTCCCAGAAGACGGTTCCCCTGAGTGGAGAGATGCTCTCTGTATCACGCTGCTGAAACTGTAAATTTCACTGGATGCTGCTGCTATGCAAACTACAATGAACTGAAATCTCCAATCCAAACCATCACTGGCGGATGCCATCTTTTTAAAGGGCATTATTTATAAGCTTCGCCAGCCTACCAGTCCGACAGATCCATAGCTGCCCTCTTATATTGCCTTATTGTAAGGTGACCCCATGGTATGGTGACCCCATGGGGGGGCAGGTGAGGTTTTCAGTCAGCCCCTGCTTTTAAGCTCCTTAAATCTTAAGGGTAATTTTTATGTAAAGGCCAGTCGGATGAGAGAGATTTACAAATATGTGAAAAGGGCTCGTATAACGGTGTCTTAAATTTAACCAATAAAGATTGTATTAAAGTTTTTAAAGAGTGATTTCGTTTCATGGTCTGATGTTACAATATACACTCGATATATCATAAATATACATACAGTGGGCAAAAAAGTATTTAGTCCCCCACCAATTGTACAAGTTCTCCCACTTACAAAGATGAGAGAGGCCTGTAATTGGCATCATAGGGAGACCTCAACTATGAGAGACAAAATGAGAAAACAAATCCAGACAATCACATTGGCTGATCTGGAAAGAATTTATTTGCAAATTATGGTGGAAAATAAGTATTTGGTGAATATGAAAAGTTCATGTCAATACTTTGTTATATATCCTTTGTTGGCAATGACAGAGGTCAGACGTTTCCTGGAAGTCTTCACAAGGTTGGCACACACTGTTGCTGGTATGTTGGCCCATCCTCCATGCAGATCTCCTCTAGAGCAGTGATGTTTTGGGGCTGTCGCTGGGCAACACGGACTTTCAACTCCCTCCAAAGGTTTTCTATGTGGTTGAGATCTGGAGACTGGCTAGGCCACTCCAGGACCTAGAAATGCTTCTTACGAAGCCACTCCTTCGTTGCCCGGGCGGTATGTTTGGGATCATTGTCATGTTGGAAGACCCAGCCATGTTTCATCCTCAATGCCCTTGCTGATGGAAGGAGGTTTGCACTCAAAATCTCACGATACATGGCCCCATTCATTCTGTCCTGTACAAGGATCAGTCGTCCTGGTCCCTTTGCAGAGAAACAGCCCCAAAGCATGATGTTGCCACCCCCATGCTTCACAGTAGGTATGGTGTTCTTTGGATGCAACTCAGCATTCTCTCTCCTCCGAACACGACGAGTTGTGTTTTTCTACCAAACATTTCTATTTTGGTTTCATCTGACCATATGACATTCTCCCAATCCTCTTCTGGATCATCCAAATGCTCTCTAGCAAACTTCAGACATGTACTGGCTTAAGCAGGGGGACACGTCTGGCACTGCAGGATCTGAGTCCCTGGCGGCGTAGTGTGTTACTGATGGTAGCCTTTGTTACGTTAGTCCCAGCTCTCTGCAGGTCATTCACTAGGTCCCCCCCGTGTGGTCCTGGGATTTTTGCTCACCGTTCTTGTGATCATTTTGACCCCACGGGGTGAGATCTTGCGTGGATCCCCAGATTGAGGGAGATTATCAGTGGTCTTGTATGTCTTCCATTTTCTAATTATTGCTCCCACAGTTGATTTGTTCACACCAAGCTGCTTGCCTACTGCAGATTCAGTCTTCCCAGCCTGGTGCAGGTCTACAATTGTGTTTCTGGTGTCCTTCGACAGCTCTTTGGTCTTCACCATAGTGGAGTTTAGAGTGTGACTGTTTGAGGATGTGGACAGGTGTCTTTTATACTGATAACAAGTTCAAACAGGTGCCATTGATACAGGTAATGAGTGCAGGACAGAGGAGCCTCTTAAAGAAGAAGGTCCAGGTCTGTGAGAGCCAGAAATCTTGCTTGTTTGTAGGTGACCAAATACTTATTTTCTACCATAATTTGCAAATATATTCTTTCCAGATCAGCCAATGTGATTGTCTGGATTTGTTTTCTCATTTTGTCTCTCATAGTTGAGGTCTCCCTATGATGCCAATTACAGGCCTCTCTCATCTTTGTAAGTGGGAGAACTTGCACAATTGGTGGTGACTAAATACTTTTTTTGTCCCACTGTATATCCTGGTGATGTTGATATCACACCCAGGGATGGACTGACAACTCATGGGGCCCCCGGGCAATAGGAAATCATGAGGCCCCTGTGTCCTTGCCCACACTCAAACCACACTCAAAAAAGCCTATGAAAGGTACCAGGGACATCTCATGGGGCCCCCTACTGACCCCCGGGCAGTGCCCGAGTGGCTAAATGGTCAGTCCCCTCCTTATCGCACCTACTCAAAAATTCAATTTGTAGGGACATGACTATTTGAAGGCCATTGGTAGTCCACTCGGTCCCTGAATTCTGTATGGACTCTGACATCATTTTGAGAACATCCCATGAAATAAATACTTGATGTTATGGGGGGGAACATGTGTGTGTATTTATAAAATCAACCGCCATTTTGCAGCAGTTGTAAAATGCACAGCGGCAACAAATGGTATCGGCCAAACTTGTTTTTGGTCTGCTGCCACCTAATATGGTACAAAGCATGGTTTCATGGTAAAACTTTGAAAATGTTCAAAATATTTATAAGTAACACCCACCTATATGAGCTGCTGAATTTTAACCACTTCAAATCCGGAAACTTTTACCCCCTTCCTGTCCAGGCCAATTTTTCAGATTTCAGCGCTATCACACTTTGAATGACAATTACGCAGTCATGCAACGCTACCCATATGAATTTTTTTAGCATTTTTTTTGAGACAGATAAAACTTATTTTGGTGGTATTTATTTACCACTGGGATTTTTTTTATGCTATATAAATAAAAGTCCAAAAATTTTGGAAAAAAAAGTGTTTTTCTTATAAAAATTTTGCAAACAGATAATCTTTCTTCATAAATTTGGCCAAAATTTATTGTTCTCTTTTTAGTAAAAAAAAAAAATAACCTAAATTAGTTTATAACCAAAAATTTTATTTTTCAAAATTTCTTTACATTATTTTTTTTATATTCATGGGTTTTTGTTTTTTTTTCATACTGTCACCCTAGCAGTACAGTGTCACCATAGTGACACTGTACTACTTGTGGGGGGGTGATTTTTTTTTTTTTTTTTTATTTTTTACACGATTGCTTTTACACCCATAAAGGCTGTAAAAGCAATAATTTCTCCTCTCCGGCTGCATTCTTGCAGCCATTGAGAAATACTGTGTGAGCTGTGATTTGGTCACCGCTTGTCACATGGTACAAGGCTGTTGTGAATGGCCCTGTACCATGTGATCTCTGTGATCATTCACAGATTTCACACGTAGTAAGCAATGATGTCAGGAAGTCACATCTTGTTTACTATGCATGTGATCACTGATTGGCCAACCAGTAATCACATGATCGGGACCTCACACAGAGGTCCCGTACAACGACTGGTGTTCCACTGTGTCCGGAGGACACAGAGGGCACCTGATCGCTGTGCTGCGTTACTCCCAGGGAGCGTGCACAAGCAGGGAGTGGGGAGGCCGTTTATAAATGGCCACTTGCCCCTACATTGCTCCCGTCGGGCCGTTTTATATACATGGGCCGGACGGAAAGTGGTGGATTCTCCTTCCTTCCTAAAGATGACCTGCCCTGTAGCTGCACCCAGACACTCACCAAAAAAAAAAAAGGTATGAAAAATCCCCTCCGCACAGAAGTCTTCTAAGGGAACTATTTAGGGCAAGATGGGCTACTTTCTTCCAGTACGTTTTGCCCTCTGCCATAGCTTAGCTGTAGGATTCTTTATGCCTTTTGCCAGAGGATAGAGAAGATTCTGTAGGCCCAGGTAGGTGGCTACCTTTCAGTTTCATTGGCCTCTGTCACAAGCTAGTATAGATTCTATAGGCCCAGGTAGATGGCTATAGTGTCAAAACCACTCCTTCTCAGTTATCTAAATCCCAATGACTCGGTGTAACGCCTTCCACCCCAGAAAGGCAAGTATAAACCGTGATAATGAGCCACATAAATATTAATTTAAAAAATAAGTAAATTATGCGTGCAAAAACCCAAATTGTGATCTGAAAATTAATCTTCTAAATAAATCCAAAAGGTCACTAAAAATCATCCAGTGTCCAAAGAATATTTTTCTTATGTACTGAACTGTCCAAAGTTATGCAGATGGCTACCTTTCAGTTTCTTCGACCTCTGGCCCTACAGAATCTACACAAACCCGTAGCAGAGGCCAAAGAAACTGAAAGGTAGCTACCTGTCTGGGCCTACAGAATCTACACAAACCCGTAGCAGACAGGTGCCTACCTTTTCAGTTTCTTTGGGCCTACAGAATCTACACAAACCTGTAGTAGAGGCCAAAGAAACTGAAAGGTAGCCACCTGTCTGGGCTTACAGAATCTAAAAAACCGTAGCAGAGGGCAAAGAAACTGAAAGGTAGCCACCTGTCTGCCCTCTGGGTCTAT